GGATCCACCCCAAGAGGATCCATGGCACAAAAAAGGTTAAGAACCCGTGTCTGGTGAAGCAAAGGTGTGAGCACTAGAGCCAGGAAAACAGATTCAGATCCGAGCTCTGCCAATTTCTAGTTCTCTCCCTTTGAGCGAAATGACGTAACCTCTCGGGGCCTTGAATTTCCCCGTCTTGATTGAGGGGGCCGACAGGAAAAACAACACGTAGCTTGTGAAACCATCCCTTCATCAAAAACTCAGCTGAACACCTACTAACTCTGTGGTGGGCACAGGGCTGAGTTCCGGGGCTACAGTAACGCACATGACAGAGATGGCTCTTCACTACTTCACACCGACGGTCCTGCTATATAAAGTGTTTAGCAGCGCCTGGCACATAAGCATTCTATAAAGACAGGAGAATGAACTGCTAAACACATAACACATTTAGTGTTTAATTAGGTATACGCTGATTTTCGTTGCCTCCCCTGTAACAGTTGTTGGTTCATCTAGCTCATGTCCTTCCAACGAAGCTTCTCAGAGGCTAGGGGCAGGGGTCACGCTCACAGAGAGCACACAGCCTGTGAGGGGGAAGAACGCTGGATCTGGCACCAAATGGTCCTGGCTTCAAAAGCCTGCTCTGCCACTTGCTAACTCTGTGACTGTACCAGAGACCTGTATAGCAGTATCTGTTCTCTCCTTCCCCAACAGTAACAGAATCCCTAGACTTTAGCTGGGCACATGGACACTATGAATTAAGGACACTATTTCCCACTCTCCCTTAGAGCAAAGTATAGTCATGTAATCAAGTTTTAGCCAAAGGGGATGTAAGCAGAAGTGATATGTACAACTTCCAAGAAGTGTCCTTAAATTAAGAGGGCCTGCCCCTTTCCCACCCTTTTCCGAGCACAGCCAACTTGGACGTGAGACGACCTTGGGAATGGAGGCTTGCACGTGGAACGAGACAGAACGGGCCTGGGTCCCTCCCACTGGGGAGCACCGCTTCTAGCTGGTACAGTTACCTGCCTCGGACAAGCTCCTTAACCTCCCTGGACCTCTCCATCCCCACCTACTACAAAGGTGATAATAGGAGGTACCTGCCCAGCAAAGTTGTTTTGAGGACTTAATGAGAAAGGGCTTGCTTCACAGTGAGGGCTAGAGAGAGAGAGGTGTTATCACTACCGTTCTTCTCTTGCTGCAGCGAGACACGTCGGAAACTGAGACATCTCAACTCAGCCCCGGGCGCCCAGGGGTGGCGCGGTGAGTCGCACAGCTGAAAGGCATCCTAGCCACTCAAGTCCTCCAGACAGGATCCCGTTCTCTGGCGCCCTCGTCAGAAGGCCCCAGGAAAGGGGAGTGCGCACCCTCTGGGACAGCTGTTGGGATGTCTGCTCACCTGCGAATCACTAGCCTCATCTATCCCTTCGGAGTCCTTCCTCCAACCGCCCTTGCCCACCTCGGGTCCCTCCTCTCTCTGCCACTGATCACCTCGGTCCTGCCTGTGCGCGCTCTCCCACCAGAACCCCCAAGTTCCTTCCAATCTCTTCTGGAAGCACCCTCTGGCCTCCCCCTAAGGGGGCTCCCCTAACTAACTGGGAAGTGAGTGATCGCTTCCTGAGTCCCACCCAACTGAAACAAGAGGCTTCCCCAACTCTCCAAAGGACATTCTTTCACACTGGAGAAGGACGCACAGGATCGTCAGCCATCGACAGGCTTTCCTGCAGTGACCCAGAGATGTCCCAGTCGCCTCCATTTTTCATTACTAACACTTTCGAAGCTCCTTCGCCCCGTGTGCAGCATCCGCATTGATCTGGGAGGTATAATGCTTCATGGCGATGCAAACTCGAAGTTCGCTTTATGTGCCGGAAGGTCATGTTCATCTTTCCTGATAGTCCCCTTCCTATTCCTCAGACACAAATCCTAGTCTGTCTCTCTCACATAGTTGTCATCTTCCCATGTCACTGTCACTGTGGCTGCTCCCAGGCACAGGCACAGCCATAACCACGTCTCCTCCTCTCCTCAGTCCCTCTTTTTCATACTTCTCCTGCGTTCACACCAGCCCCTGCTCTCGCGCTCGCTCACACTCTCTCTCATCTTCTGCCCCTCTGGCTCCACCCATTCTCAGCAGTGGAACTTCACTGTCCTCCCCATGGCTCCGCCAGGTCCAGCTTTAGAACTGGAACAGGGGTGGCCGTGGTGGCAGCCAAAGGCTCCCCAGCTGGGTGGGAACCCAGAGCTGCAACAGGAAGAAACAAGATGGTGGTCAAGAGGGCAGGAATCAGCACCCAGAGAGGGAGACAAGGCGAAACCTGATCCCGAGGTGGCAAAGGATGGGGACAGAAAGCACAGGCCTGATGATGTCAAAGGAGCTGCAAGCATCTGGGAGATTGTCGCTGCGCCCACCTTCCCTTCGCAGGCGGCCACAGGGTTTTCTGACTCAAGTTGCCATGCCCAGAGGCTGGCTGCACCTGGGTCAGCCTCCCTTTGCAGAGCACTTAGCCTGATCCTGCTTTTAAAAAAAAAAAAACATTTTTTTTTTTTTTTTTACTCCAGGGGTATGACTCACATGGGCATAAAACCGTGAGATTTTTTGCTGTTTTAAATTCACATGACACATTAATTTGCATTGCACAGCAAGAATGCTGCCGTATGATTCAAACCGCACCAGACTCGAGCAGGAATGAGACCCCAACATGGTTCTGTCCCCTCCCCAAACACCTTCTGCTCTCCGAGCTTAGCGAAGTCACAGCAAGGCCCGCTCCCCACCCTGCGGCGTTGCGGGGGGCTGAGAAAGCGGGCATTTCACCAGTGGGGCGCCAAGGCCGAGGCCGAGGTTAAGCATTTCTCATCCACAGTTCCACACCTTCCCACTCTACCACGTCTGGTCCGCCACCACCGTTCCCCTTTCAATGCCACCTTGACACTCATTTTCCTCCACGGCACCTGTGTGTACACGAGGCTGGGAGTGAGGAGCAGGTAACAGTGCCAGGTGCCAGGGCCAAGCCTCCGCTCCACAAAGAGGCCCAGCAGAGGGACCAGCCTTACATTGCTTGAGCAGCCAGAAGAAACAAAAGGCGCAAATGCCACATTTCCTTGTTTTCCCATTGGTGGTTCCTTCTGCCCTGGGCCCCGCCCGACCCCTCAGCCCTCTTTCCCGCCTCAGCCACCACCTCCTGGAGGGCCTCAGTGAATCACTAATTACCGATTTAAACCCAGACACTAAATGAATGACAAATACCGACAGGATATTTGGGACTGCGATCAGAGAGCTTCCTGCCCTCTGGAGTCTGCCTGAGCACACAGGGGCCAGAGGCACTATCCTAGCCCACACCCGGCAGCCGGGCAGACGACTGACTAGCCGGGCGGCCAGACCCGGTGCGCGTGCTGGGGAGGGGGGCTGGCACTAGTGAACTTACACGCTGGCCCCTAGCTCAGCTCTACACTGGAATTACCCAGGGCGGCTGAAAGACTGATGCCTGGGTCTCCCTCCCGGGTGATCTGGTTTGCCGCCTGGATTTTTAAAAGCTCCCCCCAGTGATTCCGACGTGCACCCAAGTTTGAGAACTGCCATTTTTCAAAGCGGCCAAGATGTTCAGAACACCTGAGGGCCTTTCCCCATCAACACTGCCCTTCGCGGCATCGTCCCACTTTACTGAGAGTCAAACGTCAGTCCCGGTGAGGCTGAGGCTAGAGCTCAGGTTCTTTAACTCCAGAGTCCATTCTCTCCCCCCCCGCACCCCCACCCGGCTGCGAACTCCTACAAGCCTGTGGGCCATGCCCGGAAGCAACCTCCGCAGCCGGCGGGTCACGAATAAACACAGGCAGCTACATTTGGCGATGGAAAGGCCACAGGCAGCAGTGATGGCTTGTCCTGGAAGCAGGGGGCCCCGCCTCACAGAGAGGGCAGGAGGTGTGCTCAGGTCTGAGGCCTGAGGCAACGCGGAGAGACAGGCTGGTCAGGGAGCTTATCCCAAGTGTGTGTCCTAAGATACCACACTAAAGGCGGAGCTCAATGGCATGGAAAGTAGCTTTGAATTCAAGAATGGACAAGTATTAGGCAAAGGGGGGGGCTCTTCACAGGGAAGAGAATCCTTAAAAGGTTTGTCTCTCAGAGGCGGTTTCTTCATCCAGCTCTAAGCATTCTGACCTTCTGTGGAGGCACAGAAAGCAATCCTTACATATCCCCAAGCAGGAAGCTTTAATCCCTCCAGCCTCTCCTCCTGCCAGAGCAATGATCCGGGCTTTCTTGGTGAGGGCACATATGACAAGTAACTTCAAAGATTTTTATATCCAGCCCTGACTGGTGTGACTCAGTAGGTGGGGCATCATCCTGCAAACCAAAAGGTCGCCGGTTCCATCCCCAGTCAGGGCACAGGCCCGGGGGGGGGCATGTGAGAGGCAACTGATCAATGCTTCTCTCACACACATCGGTGTCTCTCCCCCCCCTCCTTTCTTCCTCTCTTCCCCTCTGCCTAAAAATAAATAAAATCTTTACAAAAACATTTTCTCTATCCAAATTACTTAGGCAGGGCAAAGCTCCCCTTCAACCCCTTTTCCAACTATACCTGCCTCCCGTCCAGAAAAAGCATCACCGTCGCCACAAAACCAACCTTCCCAGCAGAGCGGGAATAAGGTGGCCACGTCGGGTTAGGAATTCATCTGGCCCATCACAGAGGCAAAGCACCTCAAGCACCATATTCATAATACTGCAAGGACCAGCCCTCAAACCACAGAGTCCCCAAACCGCCCGCATGAGAAGGGGGTTCTCTCCCCTGCAAGGCTTGGGACAGACACTTTAACGTGAGCAGATGCTCCTTAAAGACAACAAGCAATATTGCACCATTCCTCCTGGGTCAGAATTGGGCCTCTTGGTACTCCAGGACAACCTGTGTCACACACTGGCTGCCGCCCGGTGTCTCAGAAGCCGAGTGTTGATGGGAAGGAACCACAAGGAATTACAGGAACCAACAGCAGGTTAAACTTTCCCATCGATCGATCGCACTGATAGCAGCGCCACTTACCCAGCACAGCCAGACAGCTCAGCACCAGGAGAAAGCACTTCATGTCGGCAGCGGAGAGCAGAGGCAAGGCAGCGGCGCTTTCTCCTCTCCCAGGATTTAAGCTCTCATTTCTGGCAATCCACTTAGAGCTCCAGGGGACAGTTTTGGAAACAGAACTTAACTCGGAAAATAAGAAGAGGTTACAGAGAAGGGATCAGCAGGAGGCAGTCGGGGAGGGTGGCGCGTGTTAAACTCCCCCAAGCAAAGGAAGGGTCCAGAACAATCCTGCGGGCGCTCTAGGCTTCTGCCACATCGTGTGCCTTGCGGTTTCCACTGGAATTGTAGGTTGCGGTGGATTAATCCTCAAGGAAAAGGGAAACGAGTCTGAGGAAATCCTTTCATCCACTGATTATACAGAAATGTCCTTGGCTTCCCAGTGAAGGTGTCTGCACTCTCCCTCATTCGGATTCCCCGAGGGGAAAGGGGCAGGTTTTGTCAAAACCTCTGACAGCCAAATCGTCGTCGTGGCTGGCATCGACCGTTTGGGTTTCTTCACCAAAAAGTCTGTCTCCACCCATGATGGGAGGTCACGGAGCCGCCACCTGCCCCAGACCTGCCCGACACACGCGCGGCAAGTTGGCGTTCCGGTGCCCTGAGGCGGTCCCACGATGCCGGCGGTTTTCTAAAACAAACACAGCAGAGATTTGTCAAAGGCCCACGTCCCTGCCGCAGAACCGAGAGGGGCCGTGCCGGGCGGATCACCTGGCTCCCGTTCCCGGGCCAGGACAGTCAGTCTTGGCATTCTGACCTTGAGCGAGTCGCAACGTTTCCCTTCGCCTCAGTTTCCCCGCCCAGAGCACGGCAATAGCGGGAAGCCCGATTGTTCCTGCCGTACTTTCTCCGAACGCCTCACTCCTGGGAATTCCCTCCGCCTCCCCCGGAGCCCGGCGCCGCGGGCAGCCCCACCCTCCGCGGGGGCACTCGGGAAGGGGCTCCGAGGTGGGGCCGCCACTCCCGGTTCCACCCCCGGCCCCGGCCCCCGGCCCCCGCCCCCGAGGTGGGAGCGCGGCGCGCGCGGCGTCCCAGGTGGCCCCGCTATTGTTTTACCTTCCCGGGTGTTTATTTTTTGCTGAGTGGAAAGAAAAGGGACGCAAGGAGAAGGGAGCCGGGGCCCCGCGTTCCGCTGCCCGGACGCGCTCGCGGCGCGCCCGACCGGCCAGGGGAAGGTCTCGGGCCCGACCCCCGAGCGCAGCGGGCGCCCGACCCGCCGCCGCCCCTCCCCGCGCCTCCCGGGGCACCGCTCCCCGCGCCGGCCGCGCTGCCCCAGCTCCTACCTCCCCGCAGCCCTCTCCCTCCGCGCGTCCGTCCGTCTGTCGACCGGTCGACCGGGGAGCACGCCTCCAGGGACGCGCCGCCTCCTCCCTCCCGCTACGGCACCGACCGCGGCGCTCGGCCCCTCCCGAGTCCCCGCCCCCTCCAGCTCCGGCCGCTGCGCCCGGGCGGGCCAAAGCGCGGGGCGAGAGCGGCGGCCTGGGCCAGAGGCACCGCCCCCGGGCCCGCCCCTTCCCGCATGCCCGTGGACGCGCCGCTGGGCCGGGGACCTGGGCCGGGGACCTGGCCCGGACCTGGCCGGTGGGGACCTGGGTAGGAGGAGGGGACACGCCGGTGCCGCACCTGACGGTGGGGAGGGCCACCCGAGGACCTGGACACATCTGACGTGCGGGCCAGCAGCCCCCAAAGTTAACCAGGGGTTCACACGCAGCCTCCTGGGCCACTGGCGAAATGCACAGGCCCTTCCCAAAGCCCAACAGAGGACCCGCGGGCGTTGAGGAGGGCGGCGCAGGAGCGCGTCCTCTCTCCGCGACAGAGAAACAAAGCCCTGGCAGAAGTCTTGAATCTGTTCATGTAGCGGAACCCCATATTGCATTTTACTCTAAGGCCGAATTTCCTAAAAGTTGAGACCGAACTGGACTCTGCAATAACCTGGGTTCTAACTCTTGGTTCCTCGCCACTTCCCCATGACAAACCTTAGTCGAGTATTCTTTCTACCTCAGTTTCCCCATCTGTTAAAAAGAGAAATAGCTTATACTTATAATGGGGTTAGGTGAGATGTCCATGACAGCACTTGTAACACAGAATGGTGTCTGCCACATCTTAAATGCTCAGTAAATGTAAGCTGTAATTATTTTATGATGAAGTCCTATCCAAGCAAGTGCATTTTCATTCATTCAATGCTTATCCACACACACAAGTGCTGGGTAGGCACTGTCTCAAGGTGTTGAAGGTAGAATGGGATAGTCCTACCCTCCTGGAGCTTACAGTCCAATGGGGAGACCCTAAAACAGGTATGGCAAGAAAAAAGCCGTGTTGAGGAAGCTCGTGCATGGACACAGGCCCTGTGTTGGGGGTCCGGGCATGAAGAACAGCAGGAGCTGGTCACCCTGGAAGGCTTCTCAGAGGAAATGAAAACTAGATAGAATTAAAGGAACAGAAGGAGGCACCAGATGAAGAAAGAGTGAGGCTTCCCAGGCTTTAGAATCAGAATCTTGGAAGAGCCACAGAGTGGCCCACTTAGAGGACCAGAAATCTCTGTTGCGTCTAAAGTAGGCTCTAAGAAATTGCAAGAAATGCGCAGAGAAGAACCCCAGTGCCTGAACTAGGAGGGCTTTGTATGATGTGCTTAGGGGGTTGAACTTTAGCCCAGGGCCTTTTGGATAAGACAGAACTATTATTAGATGTCCATTTGTAGAAAGACCACTCTGGCCTAAGTGTGGAGGATGGATGGAAGGGGAGTTCGACAGGAGTCTGGGGGTGTTGCTGAAAATCCAGACAGAAAGTGGGGGTGACCAGGGCCACAGAAGTGGCAACAAGGAGAGAGAGGGGTGAGCAAGTCCCCTGAATGTGGGGAGGTAGGAGGCTCCTGGGGTTGAGGGTGAGGAAGGCCAGAAAAACCAGTTCAGCCTCAGCGGCTGAGATCGGAATACACTGGATGAGGCTGGATGGATTGAGTTTGAGATGCCCAAGGGCATGCAAGTGGAGAAGGCCAAAAAGCAATTGGGGTGGGAGGTGGGTTGGAGTTCAAAACTCAGAAAGGGACTTTGGGTTTGGAAGACTTTCTCCACTCTGCTGGACAGTATGACAGTAAAAAGATTTAGCGAAGGAATAGACTCATAGTTCACTTATGAAAAAAGAAAAAAAAAGAAATTAATACTCCCAACATGCAGGGCAAAGACTATGAGGGATACAAAAATAACCAAGGGGTCTTACTTGCCCCCACCCCTCTCCTTTAGCTATAAATTCCTTGTCAGCAGGATCTGCCCTTAAATCACCATTTATTGCAAACAACTCTTGGCATTGTGACCTGCATGTAGTAATTGCACTATAAATACTTGAATTAAATTGAATTGGATTAAATATTTATCACATATGCCAAGTAGTATATTGAAAATCTCCTCTTGTGTGTTGAATATTATCTCTTTTCCCCCAAACAACCCTGACTGGCATCTCTCACTTCTCTCTCTCTACTAGACTCCTTCGTTTATTTATTGAGTATCTACTATGTGCCAAGAAAAGTCTCTGCTCCCTTCGCACTTGCCTTCTAGAGGAAACACAGATAAATATATATACCATAACCTGGGAAAAGGAAATGGGGGAGGGGGGTGTGTGAAGGAGGACTCTGTTCTAGGTGTGGGGGGTGTGAAGGAGGACTCTGTTCCAGGCGTGGTGGTCAGGGGAAGCCTGCGAAGGCTGTGACATTTGAGCAGAGACCTGACGAGAGGGAGGGAAGGAGCCTCGGGGATTTCCTGTGGGAGAGGGTTCCAAGGGGAGGGGAGGCCAAGGGCAAAGCCCCTTAACAGGCTCAGAAACTAAAAGGCGTCCCTGAAAGTGCCTGAAAGAAAAGAGGGAGGAATGTTTTCAAAAAGGTCACAGAGGCCAAACCACGCAGGACCTCACAGGCCAGGGGGCAGTTGGGATCACTGTGGCTGCAGAGAGGACAACGTGTTGGAGGGTAGGAGTGGAGGAGGGGCACTGAAAAAGAGGCTGCTGTAGTTACCATGGTGAGGGACGACCCTGGCTAGGACTAGGGCGGTAAAGGCACAGGCTATGAGAAATGTGTGGGGTCTGGACCCATTTTGAAAGTAGACTCAATGGAATTTTCTGGAGAACTGGATATGGAGGGGGAGAGATAAAGGAGAGAAAAGGAATCTTCCGAAAGATCTGTTAAGTCTTCTTGGGAGTTCTCTGACCCACTACGTTGCCCAAGCCCTTTTCTAAGCCCACGCTTCCCAATTTACTCCCTATGCCTCTGCCTGGGCCGCTTCCTCTGTCCTTGAACCTGTACTCAATTATTCCTCCTCAGTTGTTTCTTCTCAACCTACCTCCCCTCTATCACCTAGACCTCTTGCATCCTCCTAAATAATCTGTCAACCCCACGCTGGTTCCCAGTGTAGCATCTTTCTAACTTCCGCATTGATGAACCAGCTAATGTATCCAAAGAACTGGGCTAAGTTTAGGGCACGGAGAGTGAATTCAATGAAAAGGAGGCCCCTGTCCTCCACACAGAGAAATTAATGAAATGAGAGCTGAACAGTGTCATGATAGGGCCAGAGAAAGCCATATGGAAGGGAGAAGGTCAAAGGAGAGGAGGGGTCAGAATCTCCAGTCAGCCAGTGCGTCTGGAGCCTGGTCTGAACATCAGTAGCTTGCCCTCCAACCTCTTATGCTGGAATATGGAAGCTTCCCCTGAATCAGCCTGAGATGTTATGAAAGACTTTTGCCTTAGTCTTCTTCCCCAGGGAGTTAAACGCAGAAGCCCACAGAAGCCTGGCTGACTCACAGCTTCAGCAAAGTGCCACCGTTGGAAACAAAGGTCCAGTGTTGCCTGATTTTCTTACTTTTCAAGAAAATCAGGAAATCCAGATTTCACTGAATTCTCCCTAATGTTTTTCACTGGAAGTTAGAGTGTCAGAATAAGCGAAACCGTGTAGGGGAACAACACAAATGTGTTTGTGGTTAAGATGCAGTAGGGCTCCAGACCTGCTGGAGCTGCAATCAAAGGCTAATATAAGACCGTAAGTGACATAAAGATATAAATAGAGGGGAAAGGGGCGTTAGCCAAGTCCTCTTTTGTCAATTGAAAGAATGTTGGGGACAAGGCATTTTGTGTAAAGACAGCCTGGCACTTGGTGCTCACAGCACGGATGTTAATTGCTCTACTGTACTTTGAAATGCCAAGTGGAAAGAGCAAAGCTCCCCACCTCACAAAACAGCCGCTCAACAATTCTCCTGATAGCAAGTTTCTTCCTGGTGATTACCCTCCTACACAGGCGAGGATCCCCGAAGCTGAAGACTAGGAATAGCTCACACAGGATGCCATCTGTCTAAAAAAAAAAAAAAAATCGAATTGACTATTATATCTCGAGATCAGGGTGGCGAGGGGGTAGGGAAGTCGGTAAGGCGTTTCCTACAGGTGGGTGCTCAGAACCTGTGGTGTGGCATCTAATGTTAGAGAAGGGCTGGAATTGCCGCCATGGAACTCCGGAGACGGGCTTATCCCAGAGTGGGGAGTAAGATTCTGTCCACCTCACAGTCTCCCTCCTCCGCAAAACCCCAGAGATGTGCTTGCTTACTCTCCGGCTTACAGAGGACAGCGGGTCTGGGGAGGAAAGCCTGGGTCTGTCTCCCAGATCTGCATTTGTCACTTAACTCTGGTCAAGTTTCTTCACCTACCTTGCCCTGTGCTCCCTGTTCCCAGAAGGGGGTAACAATAGCACCTGCCCTCACAGGGAAAATACCTGGTACTTTGTATTCAGTCCTCATGAGCTATTCTCTTCACTAATTATGAATCTCACACAGTCCAAGGAGCAGAAAACCAGGAGCCAGAAATTCTAGCCTTCAGTTCAGGCTCTGCTACCTATGCTGTCTTTTGACCTCTCTAGACCCAAGTTTCTTCTTTTGTAAAATGAAGTTTCTCTTTCGGAAGATGAAGACTAGTCAGAAGGCCCCAAACTGGCTGTGCATGAATTACTCCAGAAGCATTACAAACACAGATCCCAGGCCTCATCCAACATCGGTGTGACACTGAGCCAGATGGGCTCCTCCAGCTCAGAGGCCGACGACAGCTTTTCGCAGATTCATGATCCCATCTCATCTGTCCAAGTCCATTTCTGACTTTGATCGATAGGTCCCTCAACTACACAGCTCATTGCCTGGATCAAAAGAGTTAGAAGAGTTCACCTTTTCATCAATATTCCATTCAAGAGGCTCCCCATCCTTCCCGCCTGAGCCCTGAGTGTTTCCTTGCTCTCCGTTCCTCTTTTCCTAAATCTCAGCAAGTCCTGATGTATTTTATTATTATTATTTTTACCTTAGATCTCTCTCTCCTGGTGCCTGGCTCTGGCTGGCTGCCTGTGCTCTTCCCTCCCACACCCAGCGCCTTTGTGAAA